TGGTGAGGGAGAGGTGACTTGTTCCAGGTTTTGGAGTCCAAAGTCCTGACCTGACGAGTCTCAGCAAATGCGGACGACTCCCACCTCCTGTGTGCAGCCCCCCAGCCTCCGCCAAGCCCCAGGGCTAGAGCTCCACCTCCCATCCCCATGACATCCCCTATAACACAGCACTTCCCAGGGCGGGACCCGCTGTGGCTCTCCCACAGGCAGTTTCTCCCTCAGGCAACCCCGACTTGGCAAATTCCACCCCTGCCCCCACCATTGGCAAGTGACACTGGCACTGCCTCCAAAACAGTCCTGGACCTAATGACTCTCCCTGTCTCCCATCCAGTGTCAGACCCAGGCTGCCACAGCTCCCTGGGGGTGATGTCACCCCTCCCTCTCATCTCTGGCTCCCACTCTGCCTCCCTCCCAGCAGCTGGGCCACCTTTTTTTTTTTTTTTTTTGAGACGGAGTCTTGCTCTGTTGCCCAGGCTGGAGTGCAGTGGCGTGATCTTGGCTCACTGCAAGCTCCGCCTCCCGGGTTCACGCCATTCTCTTGCCTCAACCTCCCGAGCAGCTGGGACTACAGGTGCCCATCATCATACCCAGCTAATTTTTTTGTATTTTTTTTAGTAGAGACAGGGTTTCACTGTGTTAGCCAGGATGGTCTCGATCTCCTGACCTCATGATCCGCCCACTTTGGCCTCCCAAAATGCTGGGATTACAGGCATGAGCCACCGCACCCAGCACCACCCCCCATTTTTTTTTCCAAGATGGAGTCTTGCTCTGTTGCCCAGGCTGGAGTGCAGAGGCACAATCTTGGCTCACTGCAACCTCCACCTCCCAGGTTCAAGCAATTCTCCTGTCTCAGCCTCCCCAGTATCTGGGATTATAGGTGTCTGCCACCACACCTGGCTAATTTTTGTATTTTTAGTAGAGATGGGGTTTCACCATGTTGGCCAGGCTGGTCTCGAACTCCTGACCTTGTGATCCACCCGCCTTGGCCTCCCAAAGTGCTGGGATTACAGGTGTGAGTCATTGTACCCGGCTGTCACCTTTTTAATTTGTGTGTTGAAGTATGAGATGTAAATAGAAAAGCACACGAAGCATTGCTGTAGGCATATTTTCCAAACTGGGTACACCTGCGTCACAGATCAGACACAGAACCAGGGCGATCCGTCACTAAGTGACACGTATCCCCTGCCTAAGGCTGTCCCACCGAGCACAAGGGCATCATCTTCTACCTGGCTGTACCTGTCCTTGCACCCCACTCCTGCCTCTATCCCAGAACATGACACCTTGTCCACAACCTGTGTCCTGTTCATCCCTTTTCTCTCCTCCCTACTTGAATGTCAGCTCCAGTGGGCTGGTGACTGTGTCCTTCTTGATCACCCGGTGCCCTGCCAAGTGCCAGGCACAGAGTACGTGCTCACAAAACTCTGGGCGGCAAATGAACAGCCGTGCCAGCGCAGTGGGCACTGGAGAACTGTGCATGTGCAGCCAGCAGCAGGTCACGGTGAGGGCACCCCTCACTCACCCAGTTCTCCGTCTTCCTGGCCCGACGCTCCAGCCCCTTCTGCAGGCGCTCCCCTACGCCTCCTGAGGCCTGAAACTCATCCACCAGCTGCTTGGTGTGGGCCCACTCCTCCTCACTCACGATGGGCTGCAGTGCCTTCAGGTAGTGGTCCAGGGACTGCTGGAGAGGGGGCACAGGCAGCCGTGGCAGTGCATCCTGGTGTGCCTTGAAGCGGCCGGAAGCCTTCATCAAGGAGGAGGGCTTCAGGAAGCCCAGAGGCTTCACCTGCAGGCAGCAGAACATCCTGTTCATTCCGTTCCCAGCTTGGAGCCCTGGCAGTCCCAAAGCTGCAGTCCTGGGCACTTATGTGCCCATTCCTGGGGCAGAGACAGCCTCTTGGGTGGGGCTGGCCCTGGCCTCCCAGCCCTAGAGCTGTAGATGTCCCCGCCTCTCCAGGGCCTGGAGATGCAGGTAGGGATGGGGAAGGGTGGGGTGTGGCCATGGTTCTTGGCAAGGCTCAGGGGAATCAAGTCAGGATGAATGGCTCTTTGGCGTAGCAGAGGTGAGGGGCACCTCCCACCTGTTGGGTTGCACAGGTCCCTCCTTTCTCACCCTGGAAGAGGAACCAGCCAGCAGAGTGGTGACTGTCCCTCTTGGAGGTCCCCACCTCCTTTTCTCCCACCCTTTCCAGGTTGAGAAACAGAAGGGAAGAAGAGAGAATCACAGAGAGCCAGACAATGGCAGCATCTTCGGGTGAGGGGCCTTGGGCTTCCTCCTGCCTCTGAGATGGGGGAGGGGTGGGGTGAGGGCGGTGCTGTGGCGAGAGAGCTGGGTGGCCTGGCATGGAGGGTGAGAGGCAACAGAGAGAGAGAAAGTCCAGGAGGCCCTGTAGTGGGCAGAAAGAGAGACAGGAGGGCCCGAGGCTGCTCTTGCAGTGAGCAGGCGAGCGGCAGGAGCTCTGTTCCATACCTTCTCTCTCTGCTGCCCATCCTCCTCCATGGCAGGACCGAGGTTCTGGGCCCTGTCTGCCTTGGTTGGATCTCTAAGCCTAACTGTGCTACCAAGTGGGCGAGCAGAACCTAGTCAGAGGCAGCCACTTGCCTGGGCTGGAAAGAGAAGACAAGAGCCAAGATTCAGGGGGAGGCAGGTGGCAGTGGCAATGGCTGTGGTGGCAACGGGGGTTGTGGCAGTGGCAGGGGAAGCTCCTGAACTCTAGAAGCTACTCCACCCTCCCGAGCTCCCAGAAGTAGAGGAAGGGGGAGCAGGTGAGAGGCTGGTGGGGGGCATTCCAGTAGAAGGGAACCTGGAAAGTTCTTTCCTTTCTTCTCTGCATGGGCTCAGTGCCAGGAAGGCAGGCCAAGAAGTAATAAAAAAATACACCTGTCAGAATCTGTGAAGATCTTTTTGATGAGAGAAAACTTGGCTGGAGGGCAGAGACTGCCTGGCCGCTGAGGTTACACCACAGCCCTGGGATCGGTCCTGAAATTAGGGTTGGTGCAGGGGAGCAGACACCAGGAAAAGGCCATCAGTGGAAGGGACAGCCAGAAGCCCTGCCTATTTCCTGTTTCTCTCCAGGACTCCTGGAACCCATCTGAGCCATCCCTCTACCAACACTCATTTTTTCCTGAGCTGTGGCTCATTCAGCTAGGGTCCAAGAGTGGAGGACTTTTGGTATGAAAAATAAACCAAAGGACGCTGCGATTGGGCTGGATTTGAATGAGCAGCTCCAGGGGACTCTGGGCAAGTCCCTCCTTGCCTCAGTTTCCCTGGCAGGAAAGTAACCAGGCTAGTCGGATGGTCTTGGAGAATGACCTAGAGTCTGTTTGTGGGATGAGATGCAGCTTGGGAGACAAGTGACAAGGGTGCAGTGGAGGCTCAGGGTGTTGCAACACCTAGAAGGGCCTCTGAGCCTGAGCCTGGATGCACCCTCTGCCCTCTGGCCCGGTAGTGTGTGTCCGAGACAGTGAGACACCAGCAACATATGCTTGGATCAGGGATGGAAGGAACTGAAATTAGGCTAGCATCCAGGCTGCCTTCTGGGGAGGACTGAGGGGTAGATACAGCCAGGGTGGGGAAGGGGGCTGAAGAGGAGGATACAGCCAGGGTAGGAAAGGGGGCTGGAGGGGAGGGAGGCCATGGGGCTGCCACCTGCCAGTTCTGAGGCCTTTCTGAGCAGCCTAGCTTGATGCCTCTGCGTGTTTCTCTGGCCACACACAATTCCCCAGGGACCATCCGATAAACCAAAGGAGCCTGACCAACTAACTGGACAGGGTCGGAGAAGTGGCTCTGGCCTAAGCGTGCGACGGGTGTGTGAGAATAACTGGGAGAGTGAGCGCGGGTCTGGATGCTCCTGGTCTCTCTCCCCCACCGGCCTGTCTCTGGGTCTAAGGGTGGGGGTGCTAACTGAAGCCGAGTCCCCCCTGTCTTTCCCGGGTCGTTGGAATTGAATGCTCCAGGACGTGGGTTCAATCCCACTTCTGACGCTGCGCCCGAATCTCCTGCTCTGCCAAACCTGGGACGCCCGCCTGGCCCCACCCCACCCCACCCCATCAGCTGGAGGCCGGGTCGGATAGCGGCTGCAGGACAAGGTCTCCGCTCCCGGGCGCAACCGCACGGCCCACCCACGCCGTCCAGGGCCCTCAGGCCCTGGCTCCGCCGCACTCACCACGGTCCTGGCAGCGAAGGCTAACATCTTCGCTGCCTGTCCGCGGACACGCAGTCCGCTCCGCCCCACACACCGGGCAAAGTCCGCGCCGCCTCTGCAGCGGCTGGGGTTGGTGGGTCCTTGCTAGAGCCTTCGGGCCAAGGTCGCTGAGTTACGACCGCCAGCCGGTAGCGGCGGCCCCGCGCCCACCCTCCGGGCCGGGCAGGCACCGGGGAGGAGGATTCGCGAGGCGGGGCCTGGGCCAGTAGCGGGCCCCGAGCCTGCAACGGAGCCCGGGAGGCTGGCTGCGGGGCGGGGGCGGGGCCTCGGTGGGGTGGGGTCTCCTTGGGGAGGGGCAGGAGGGGCGGGGCGTCTCCCGGTAGCGGGTCGCAGTAGGCTGGCTGCGAGCTGGGGGCGGGGCCACGGCGGGTGCTGGGACAGAGGGGCGGGGCCGAGGGCGAGTCATTGGTTGGGAGGCCCCGCAAGGCGTTGAGACCTGTGGAGTAGGAAGGAGGAGGTCACCGTCCAGCTGTCTCTCCCCCGCCCCCGCGTGTCTTCTAAGCTGTTGGAGGTAGCGGTGTGCACCTCTCCAACTCCGTCTGGTGTTCTTGAGCGTAACTCTTAGAGTGGTAGGAAAACACAACCGTGTTGACCAGAGAATGTCCTCTCATATTCCTTGGATTAGGGTCACTACCACCCACAAAGATGACAGGTGGTACTCGGGGACAGGAGACTGCCCCGGAAAAACATGGCTGTGCACAACCCAAACTTGACGCCCCGCACAATCATGGAAGCCGCGGCGCCCGTCGTTCCGGCGGCCGTTAGCGGGCCTGGCGCTTGGCGGCCGTTGGCGCGCATGCGCCCCGCGCGCCCCGCATTGACATGGCCGTCGCCCGAGTCCGCGCGTCCGCCGCGCGCCGGCCGTTAATGGGCATGCTCCCTGAGTGCCCCGCACCGATATGGCGGCCGTCGTCCCTGGGGTGACTTTAACTCTCGGTTTTCGGTTATAGCCGGCCGGCGCTCACTTGTCTTGAGGAAGCTCAGAGCCTTTGGTGGAGCCGGGGAGAGGAAGGGTGGGTGCAAGCGTGAAAGGCGAGAGGGGACTGCAGGCATCCGGGCCGGCTCCTGGCCGGAGCAAGATGGCTGAGGGCGAGCGGCAGCCGCCACCAGGTAAGGCCGGCGGGGCCAGGCCGGGCCGGGGTCGGGTAGGGTGAGGGCGGCGCCAGGTGTGGGAGGCTCAGGAGGGCGAGAGTCAGGACACGGAGGAGCTGGAGGGGCAAAAGCTGAGGGGCCCCGAGGAGAAACTGAGTTGAATGGCCTTAGGGGAGAGGTGGGTGATGGGGCACCGCTGGGAGGGAAGCAGGGGCTGCAAAGGGGTGGTGATTGGGGCGCAACTCTGGGTTTTGTGGGAGTCTGGGCTGCCCGAATGCCGGGTGGGCAGCACCGTGGTCATAAGGAGGGCCTTTTGCCTCTTTGGGCAGCGCGTGCCTAAGTCAGCCATGAACCTGGTGGGGAAGTTGCCAGGGAAGGGGGCGAAAGTGATTCCGGAGGCTGCCGTGTTTATTAGTCGCTGCTCAGGGGATGGGGTGGTGCTCAGTGGGCCGCGCCTGCCTCGCCCCCAGTTTCAGCTTCCGCGCCCTGCTCACCCCTCATCCTCCTACTCTCTGGTTTCCGTGACTGAGAATGTATTGAGGGAAACTGCCCGTGGTGTCTAAATCCCTAATTTTAAAAGGCTGGTTGTGCAAGGAGGTTAGTCTCTCTCTGGCATCTCCTTCGGTAACTCTTATTTACACTGTAGCCTCTTTTTAGTTCATCTCAAATAACTGGGATGGAGCTGCTACGGAAGGATCTTCTTAGAGACCCCTTTCATGGAGAAGGAGGAGGCTGGACTGGCCATAGATAACTTTTACATTCCCGACAGAGAGGCAAATAGGTTGGCCCACCAAACACAGCTAATGTTTTGAAATCATTTGATATTCCTGCTATCCTGTCTCCAATTTTGTGGTCCCTGGGAAGATCTCAGGAGGGAGAAATGTTGAAAATCAAAAAAGGCATCCTCTCCATGCCCCACAAAAGAGATGAACAAAGAGCTGGGTTCTGTTTCTTAGGACATTCAAAACCAGACATTTTGTACAAAACCTCTGTGTGTGTGCCCTTAGAACAGGGGTGTCCAGTCTTTTGTCTTATCTAAGCCACATTGGAAGAAGAATTGTCTTGGGCCACACTTAAAATACACTAACAGTAACTAACAAGAGCTGATGAGCTAAAAAAAAGTCAGAAAAAGAAAAAAGTCTCATACTGGTTTTGTGGGTTTTTTCTTTTTTTTTTTTTGAGGCAGCGTCTCACTCTGTCCTCCAAGCTGGAGTGCAGTGGTGTGAACGCCTCCCGGTTTCAAGCGATTCTTCTGCCTCAGCCTCCTGAGTAGCTGGGACTACAAGCGTGCCACCATGCCCAGCTAATTTTTGTATTTTTATTAGAGACGGGATTTCACCATATTGGCCAGGCTGGTCTCGAACTCCTGACCTCGTGATCCACCTGCCTTGGCCTTCCAAAGTGCTGGGATTACAGGCATGAGCCACCGCGCCCAGCCAGTCTCGATCTCTTGACCTCGTGATCCGCCTGCCTTGACCTTCCAAAGTGCTGGTGTTACAGGTGTGAACCACCACACCTGGCCTATGTTTTAAGAAAGTTTACAAATTTGTGTCCGGCTACATTCAAAGCTGCCCTGGGCTGCGGGTTGGACAAGCTTGCCTTGGAAGTTCTGGTAATGACTCTGAGCCGGGTGGCTCACACTTGTAATCCCAGCCCTTTGGGAGGCTGAGGCGGACGGATCACTTGACGTCAGGAGTTTGAGACCAGCCATGGCCAACATGGCAAAACCCCGTCTCTACTCAAAACACAAAAATTAGCCGGGTGTGGTGGCATATGCCTGTGATCCCAGCTACTTGGGAGGCTGAGGCAGGAGAATCACTTGAACCCAGGAGGCGGAGGTTGCAGTGAGCCGAGATTGCGCCACTGCACTCCAGCCACTGCACCCCAGCCTGGGCGACAGAGCAAGACTCCATCTCCCAAAAAAAAAGTTCTGGTAATGATATCAGGAGAGAGGAGATATAAGGCAACCACTGTTATCAGTGAGATGAATGTGTCCCTTAGGATGAATGGGGGTGGAGAGTGGAAGGAGAGAGAACCTGTGTCCTGAAAGAGAGGAAGGCTCAGGGAGGTTATCCATGGCTGGAAAGAGCCAGGTCCCTGAACATGGTCCTTTTTTGAAATTTGAAACAACTTTTGGGAACAGCTGGAAAGAACTTCTTCTTTTTTGTTTTGTTTTTTTTTTTGACACAGAGTTTCGCTTTGTCACCTAGGCCGGGGTGCAGTGGTGCAATCTCAGCTCACTGCAACCTCCGCCTCCTGAGTTCATGCGATTCTCGTGCCTCAGCCTCCCGAGTTGCTGAGGCGTCCACCACCATGCCGGGCTAATTTTTTGTATTTTTAATAGAGATGAGATTTCGCCAAGTTGGCCAAGCTGGTCTCAAACTCCTGGCCTCAAGTGATCCGCTGCCTCAGCCACTCAGAGTGCTGGGATTACAGCCGTGAGCCACCGCGCCCGACCAAGAAAGTTCCTCTTAACTCAGTGTAATGATGAAAACTTTGGATTTTGGAGTCACACATATCTGGCTCTGCCTGGCAAGTCACAGCCTCTGTGAGCCTCAGTTACCGCTCTCTTTTTTAAAATTTCTTTTTTTTTTCTCCTAAGAAAAAAACCTGTTATTTCTTAAAATGAGACTACTATACTTTCTTCATAGAATTGTAGTATGTGTTCTATAAGAAGATGTGTGCAAAGCATGGGACATAGTGGGCAATCAGTAAATGCTGATTGCCCTTATCTTTTTCAAAGTTTCAAAGTTGTACAGGTTGAACATGTAGACCAGTTTCAAATGGCCGATGATAATGCTGTATATTATAGTCTTTGTTGGGGGGCTTAGAAAGGAACATTTCTAAAATTCTGAATGTTGATTTTATACTGTGAGGTTGTTGGGAATCCACTGTCCCTTGGAACTTTGTCAGAGACATAACCTGAGGCTGGAGAGACTGTGGGCGTGACCTCATTTATCATAGTCCTGCCTTTGAAGGCTTGTTTCTTTGATTTGGGATTGTGTGTTCTGGCAACTTCTGTCTGTTTCATCAGTAATTTGTTATAGTGCTTCCTGGTAAGGTAGCCTTTTCCCAAATATGGACTGGCCTGAAGGCTTTCTTCCTGTGAAATATACCTGTTAAATAATGTCAGGAGTGCCGTCCCCCCCACCCCCCCCTTTTTTTTTGAGGCAGAATCTAACTCTGTCACCCAGGCTGGAGTGCAGTAGTGTGATCTTGGCTCAGTGCAACCTCCGAGGAGGCTGTCCCTTTGCAGAGAATGGTTATCTCACACATACAAAAGGGCTGTATGTTCCCAAAGATTTTTTCCAAGTTGATTATTTGGAATGTGGGACTCATTTTCCCATAAAAGCAATGTGGTTGGGTTACTAGTCTGACCTACAAAGCTTTTTATTTGGCATCTTAGTTGAAGTGCCAATTTACTAATAGCAGGGGGCCTCAGTTTTGGGTTCTGGGAACAGAGCTTGCAGGACAGGTGGGAGGAGGAAGAGAGCTTCTGGTCTCTTTCTGGGGCCTTGGTTTGAGTTAGGCAGAGATTTGTCTTTCTCTAAATTCAGATTCTCTATCCTTCTCCTTAGGTCTCCAGGTCCCCTGGCACTTTTCCTCAGGACCTCTCCAGACAGACTCTGTTTCTCCAAATGTTACATGTTCCAGAAACTTCTTAGGTCCCTGTCCCTTTTTCTCCATGTAGCTGATATCAGCTAGGTTTTAGGAGGAAGACAGGGGGACAAATTTATACCATGTTGTGAGTGACCGATAGTCCTTTACCCTTCCACTTTAGGGAGAGTTTGCATTTTTTTTTTTTTTTTTTTTTTTGAGACGGAGTTTCGCTCTTGTTGCCCAGGCTGGAGTGCAATGGCGTGATCTTGGCTTACTGCAACCTCCGCCTCCCAGGTTCAAGTGATTCTCCTGCCTCAGCCTCCTGAGTAGCTGGGATTACAGGTGCCCACCACCACCGCCCGGCCAATTTTTTTGTATTTTTAGTAGAGACGGGCTTTCACCATGTTGGCCAGGCTTGGTCTCGATCTCCCGACCTCAGGTAATCCACCACCTCAGCCTCCCAAAGTGCTGGGATTACAGGCCTGAGCCACCGCACCTGGCTGAGAGTTTGCATTTTTAAAGGCAATACTTACTAATCTAACACTTCTGCAGTTGTAGATTCAGGTCCACAACTCTGTATCCAAAACCCTCAGGGCCAGGTGTGTTTTGAAATTCACAGTTTTTCATATTTCAGAAGACAGCATCCCCTAAGCAAACACAATTATTTCAGCAAAATGTATAAATACCCTCACTAAATCAGATACACAAAGCCTGTAAACGTCGTCTTATCAGTTTAGATTTTATACCTAATGACCTTATGGTAAACTTAGTTTTTAAAAAATTGGATTTTCAGAGCTTTATGGATTTTGGAATGATGAATAAAGGATTGAGGGCTTGTATTTCTCAGTATCACAAAGTGAAGGGAGTCCTACAATGTGGTTGAAGAGATATTCGGCTAGCAAGGGCACTTCTAGTAAGCAGTTGGCTTTGGCGTTAAGTTTGCCTCTAGGTCAGCACATGAAACTTCTCTGGGTTTTCCTTTCACACATCAACTGGAAAATATAGAAACTCTTGCTTTTTTCTGATTACAAAAGTACTATGTGCTTTTTTTGCTGTTGCTGTTTATTTTTGAGATAGGGTCTCACTCTGACACCCAGGCTGGAGTGCAGTGACATGATCATGACTCACTGTAGCCTCAACCTTCCAGACTCAAGTCATCCTCACACTGTAGCCTCCCAAGTAGCTGGGACTACAGTCACACATGCTGCCATGCCAGGCTAATTTTATTTTATTTTATTTCTGAGATGGAGTTTTGCTCTGTCGCCCAGGCTGGAGTGCAGTGGCACAATCTCGGCTCACTGCAACCTCTATCTCCTAGGTTCAAGCAATTCTCCTGTCTCAGCCTCCTGAGTAGCTGGGATTACAGGCGCCTGCCACCATGCCTGGCTAATTTTTGTGTTTTTAGTAGAGATGGGGTT